TTATATCTCTGGTCCTCCCCAATAAACACAAACTCACCTTCAAAAACTTCTGCCTATTTCCCAAACTGTACTATTCATGACTTTACTCACAGATGTTCCCCTTCCCACCATGCATAATTATGTAGTCTGTTCATGAAACTTTCACTTCATGAGGTTTGGTACAGTTAATTCATCATGTTCTGTAGTTTCAACTAGACTATAGTTCCATTGTTGTTTTTTTTAATAGCCCTCATTGCTATGAGTACTCTGCATATGGAAGGCAGTAAATAAATGGTGAAAGACCCTACCATTACTTAGTACATTCTCTATAAATATGACTCATACTTATCATTTCAAATGACATCTTTTATTACTATGGTCTTCAACATTAAAAAGAACTTTCTCTTATTAGTGATACTTGTTATTTGTCTCAGAGCTATGAATTTATTCCTGAGCTTTTTGGAATGAGAGTGGAAGTTCAGGTTGTTATGCCTTAGATTTTTTATGTGATATGTTTATGCTATTGATTTTAATTTAGCCCAGCATTACAACTTCTCATAAACTGGTTCTGTTACAGATGAATAAAAAGTGTCATTGTTCAATAGATTTTGTTTTCCTTTTATGCTCAAGTATAACTGACTCAAATAGAGTAATTTATATGCCAAAGTAATTTTTTTTAACTTTTTAATAAAAAGGGAAAATGGTTTGGAAAACATATTCTATATGTTCCACATGTACCAGCTAAAGGCTTTTAGGAAAGTTAATATTGTTCTGATAAAACTGTGGTTTATAATATAAGCACATTAACAGCATGTAACATGTTACCATGTCCTATCTTATGATACTCAGTTGAAGGGGCTAAGCAATTTTTCTCATCATGCAAACATGCTGAAATATCACAGCAAATGATTAATGCTTAAAATATTGGAATATAACATCATTTTAAATAAGCAATTAACGTATCAGGCAATGTAGCTAATGTAATTATGGCATCTTCTGGCTAATTTTATAAATGAAATCAACAGGCTACGGTAAAATAAACGTTCTATAACATTTGACTAACTCAAAACATACTGCATTTAGTGTTTTATTAAAGTTATTCAGTAAAAAGGTTAGGAACAAAGTATTTCCTGCATATTAAATGTGAAGCACTAGTTTATGTCTATAGTACTGACTATATCTCACTGGTTAAACTGGTATAAAGACTGACCACTTGAATAAAATTACTCATTTTGACATATGCTGTTGGAGAGAGGGGGTGAAAAACAGAATATACCTGTGGATATTTCTCCAATACAAAAATCTCTAAGAACTAGGGGAAGTTACCTCTAATAAAATTAACTGTCTTTAATGTGGAATTGCATCCACATTTACAATTTAGACAGTTTCACAACCTAATGGTACCACTTCAATCAGTTTGAATGTTATGTTGATCACTGGAATGAATTCATTTTTATTATGAGATGAATGTGGTTGATTAAATGACCTTGATTAGGCATCTTACCTTGGTCTTAAAATTTGTGTATCTGTTTTCTTCATTGTGTGTGTTTATTAATACCAGTAAAAACAGAGTATCATACATCTTCCATAAAATGATTGTGATAGAAATGTCATTTTAGTGTATACGATGATAGTATAACTTGCAGCAGACATCTTGGAATATTACATCATTTTATGTGCAGTACATTGCAGCAGAGCTCAAGTCCAACTTGACTGATGTTGGTTCCAATAAAAGCTGTTACCCGTGAAGGTGAAAAAAATAAGAATTTTCTCTAAGGGAAAAAGTATTAATGTTATGAAAACACTTAAATAACATTCATTCCTTCATAGGTCTTTGTCATGCAGATGTGGAAATTTACCATTCTTTTTGTTAAAGTGGTAATTGTGCAAAAATAAAAACCAGGCAAACATGGAGCTTGCATATTCACCATTTGTTATTTTCTTTGTTAATGTTAAAAAAATAAAAAAGTATATATTCCTGGTGACATCTTCAAATACTTGCTTCAACAAAATTTCCTACTGTAGTAGCTAGATGGCACAGTGGATATAGCACTGGGCCTGGAGTCAAGAAGACCTGAGTTCAAATTAAGCCTCAGACACTTACTAGTTGTGTGACTCTGGGCAAGTCACTCTGTTTACCTCAGTCTCCCCATCTGTAAAATAGGGATAATAATAGCACCTACTTGCCAGGGTTGTTGTGAGGATCAAACGAGATAATAAAGTTAAGCTGTGCTTACCATAGTGCCTTAGCAAATAATAAGCATTATATAAGTGTTAGTTATTATCATTATTATTTCTCATTGTTGTCAGCCACAGAACATGAAAATACATAGCCAAATATCACAGACATCCTTAAACACAAGGAAGAAATGTTTCAAAGAAAATCTACAACTAAATATGGAACCTCTTTGAACTAAAACATTATTTAGAGGGATGCATTTGAGACTGGAAGTGGGCCCACTTACTTTTTCTCCCATTTTTTTTTCAAGGTGGCGGGTGCAGACTACTTACTGCCTCATAAGCCAGAATATTAAGCACACAACAATTAATGCTTTTCACAAATATCATACTTTTATGACAATACTAGATTATTAAACATAGTATACAAGACTTCTATTCCATTCAAGTTTTAAACAGTATTTAATTACAGCAATGTAATTCAGTAAAAAAGTATTTTAATGATGAATTTCCAAAACCCACACAAAAGTGACAATATAAAGGCCAAGTGAACAGGATGACTATACACCCAAATATACTTGGATAAACCTCAAAGTTATCTGTAAATTATTTTTCTATTTTTTCTACTAGGAGTTTAATATCAAGACTATCTGGTGGTTTTGTTTTCTATTCCTACATGTGAGTTCTTCATGAGTTAAAAGAAAATTCCATAACATTTAATCCAAGAAATAAGATTACTGTGAAAAACATCTCAAAATATTAGCAAGGTATTACCTAGAAGCATATGCTGATGTAGAGGTATTCCAAAAATTAGTGTATTTATAGTATATTAAAAGACCTGACCTTTCTATTATGTATGTATCTCGTCTCTAGCATTCTTGATTAACAGTAAATGGCCAGGATGATTATTCTATATTTTCAAGCTCTCAGTTCTACTGGAAGACATGAACAGTAGATTCAAATGTATAAAGTGACCAAAAATTAGATGCAGTTTAATTAAGTAAATTATGTCTAATTAAAGAGGCTTCCCTTTCCTTTGATTAACTAACAATAGGGACAGGAAGGGAGTGTGGTGACAGTAAGTACAACTATTAAATATTCTGTTGCAAACTGGAAGTGCTTTTCCTAGTAATTCTCTTTGTCGAAAAGTCTAACCAAAAAAAATGTGGAAAAAGACTAAATAACATTATGCAACTAGGAAAGATTAATTTTAACATTGTTTTGTGGACTCAACACAGTACAGAGGAAAATTTCTACCATAATTCTCTTAGAGTACCTAAATTTATATCTTTAGTTAAGTACTTTAAAAATCCTATGTTTAGAGTATATTCTTAGACTTGGCTTCTTAATCTTCTATATTTAGAAGAAGTACAATATAAGCTCCTAGAGGGAAGAAACTTTTATTTTTTGTCTTTGTATTCCCAGTACCTAGCACAGGGTCTTGGCATTAAATGTTTGTTAAGTTTTAAATTCAATTATACTTTCATAATTCCATTAGAAACTATAGGAGGAAAACCAGTATGTTTTCTTTACTAACATCACAAATGTCAATACTATGTACACTATATGGTAGAACTTAACTAGGTTTCTTATTTCTTATTTCCAAGAATTCCTTTTAGTTTATATTAAACACTGAAATATCCCGTTCAACAATAGCCATAACACCACCTAACCACCCCCCACCCCACCCTACCACCCAATGAGACCTGTCTATATTTAAACATTTATTGTTGGACTACAAAAACATGGAAATGTTTTCTTTTTCTTTACCTTCTCTCACTCCCCCAATAGAATACACTTTGAGTTAACAATTAGTTAACTGTTTAGAAGTAATGAGAAAACCAATAGTAAATATTATAGCATAATGCTTTTCACATAGAAAAAAAATGGAAGGGTATCCTCAATGAAAGAACTGGGACTACAGTGAAAAATGGAAGACATTTGGAGAAAAAAAAGAGAGAGAGAGATAAGAGATCACTTAGCAAACTACTGACTCAACCTTTCTCTTTCTCAAGCAAGAAATATTTGCCATTCCTGAATTTCTTCCTGGCAAGAATAAAGACTTTAAGGTTTTTGTCTACATCTTATCTGAGAAAACACATATCTATTTCAATCTCATGTGCTCATTACTATCTTCTGCCAAATATTTTAATAGTTCAAGGAATTATAATCTAGTTATATTCACAATAAACTAAAATTTAAATATATGGAACTTCAAAATTGTCATATTATGGTATGAAAAAGATACATTATTTGCTATTTGTGCATAGAAAATAGGAATAATAAAAAATAAAATGTAAAGAACCTGATTTTATCTATATCTATCCATATGTGTGGATGTACACACACACACACACACACACACACAAACATACCCACATATATTACTATTATGAGAGTACCGAGCTTGTGCTCAAGACCAAGAGACCATTCTATGTCACATAAAACAAAAAGCAGACTTGCTTCCATATAAAAAATTATGACATGAAGATGAATAAAAAACATAAAGTTTTAGGAGAAAATGCACACCACTAACATTTTACTTTGTTTCTGAAAATTACATCTCTAAAATGTGTATTTTTAGTACAATTAAATTGCATTGATATATAGATACGCATATATACTTGAAGTACCCAACTCGATTTTCACTACAGTGAATGTATTGTCACAATGCATGTAATTCAACACAGCTACAGAGACAAAAAGCTTTAACTCATATACAGAGTTAAAGGGAGCCTTAAATTTAAAATTGAGTCTGATTGTTTTTTCCTTAAAAATGGATTTTTAAATCACAGGCTTTTGATAACTAAATGGCTTTCATGTAAATGCCACTTTTTTTTTACCTCATTCTCAGTTAAGGAAGTTGAAGGAGATGAACTTTTGCTAAACGCAAGAGCTGAAGATTCTGCTGCTGAAGCCCGATTTCTCTTCTTCAGTGGTTTACATGCATCGGACAGATTTTTCGTTGCTGTAAAATAATTTTGGTTTACAAAGTGAAGGTTGGAATATTCAAAGATGACTATCCTGTTTCTGCTTTAAAACAGTCCCTTTCTTAACAACTGAAGATATTCTAAAGATGAGTCTTCTCAGTTCCTGTGTAGTACTCAGCATATTTTAAAGTTAATTTAGTACAGCAAGGACAAGATTCAATAAAGATACCATTAGATAGACTACCCCCCCCCTTTTTAAAAAGTCTTTCATCATCTAAAGTGAAGGGATTTCTATGCAGTGCTTTGATTAAATACATTACAATATTATACAATCTCAAAGAAATTTATGTTTGCCCTCTTGGTTTTGCTTTAACTTAAAAAATATTTAAACAAAATGTTGGAGATGGGAGATGGATTGGAGATGGATTTTATCTTTTGTTCAGCATTTCAATACTGAAATTTAACAATGCTAGAACCTTCAATAAGCTCCCTTTGAGAAAGAACACTATTTTTCATGCTGTATTCATAACTTTTGACAAGCTACAGAAATCTATCAAGAGCAAGTCTTCATACTAAAAGCATCCAAGGAACTTTAGACCAATATGTGATTACATTTGTCCAAGAACTTTTTCCGTCTTGGACAGCTTCTCTATAGAACATATTTAAGCAACTTCATAAAAACCTGAATAATAACTACATTTCTTCTTTGTATCTGCTAAGTTCATAATCATTAAACAAGTGGTAAATTAAGACACCGGATAATACTTAAGATATTTAGGCAGCAACTGGCATTCTCAAAAGAGAAAAAATAAAAGTAGCTGTTTTCAAAGTCTAACATGCTCCTATAATTTAACAACAAAAAAGCCCATTATTGGCCCTAAAATAAGAATTGGTTTTAGAAACAGCTTCAGCAAAATTTAGCTGAGTATTTAGAATAAACTGATAAAATATAAATGGTTTATTTAAATGTTAGAATGTAAACCATTCTGACCATATTACCTGACTGGTTCTTTAGGGAGGAGGAGGTTTCTGTGACCTTAGAAGAGTTTGTTTTGGCTGTTTTGTCATTGCTTGTCTCCCTCTGTTACAAAAAAGAAAAAATAAAATAAAAATAAAAACTCCCACTGAGAGTGAATAGAAATAGAAATTATTTCTGGAGAGTTACTGAAAAATACAAATTTCTTTGTCTAAAATTCCAAACATGTTCTGTGCAAAAAAGTTGTTTATGATTTCCCCACAAAATTAAGTTTGATTCAAACAATCCAGAAGGGACAATTTAATACCCCCAAAGTAAATAAAACTTATCAACCAATACCTTCATATATACGCAAGTCTTAATATCTGACAAGGAATAAAGGGATTAAAATCTCAACATTTAAATCTTGAACATAAGGATTTTAATTTCAATAGTGGCTTGTTACCTGAAATTTATTGGATTTACATAAACTTCCTATGAACTATTCATGTTAGTATTTAAGATATCAATATGAAAATTTGGAAAGGAACAAATTGGGGAAAGTATTTCTCTAATTTAAATTCTGCCTTAAGACTGCTCTTGTTTTGCACTGGTAATTGTCAAGTTAGTGCCAACATTTTCATTGAAATCAAGCTCCAGATTAGCCTGTAGTTTACATTATCTGCCAAATAGCACTGTGGAGCACACACATTTTTTAATATATCTTTCCAAATCTGTTAAGTACAACTACACTTCAGATTGTTTGAAGCACTGTCTTAAAAACAGCAATTTTCATCTGATAAATTCTTGATAACTGAACTACAGTAAGAGATGCTATGCTCAACTTCTCTGATGAGTTTATATAAATGTTCTGAAATTTTAAAATAGGAATTATGCCACAAAAGAAATACTGTCTTGATATTTTATATAAATATTGATTTTTAAATGAAATATCTTAATATAACACATTTCTTAGGAATGCTTTACACACACAGATTTAGAAACCGTCTCATTTCGAGGTAAAATATTGAAAAGGACTACAAGTATGTGCTCAGTAACATCTAAAGCTTTATCACTAACAAGTAGTGCTAATGTGCTCCCAAGTGATTCATTCTAACCATCTAGTTTATCAAGGAATCAAAAGCATCCAGAAAGGCACAGACACTGGCTAAAATATAAGAATAAGCTATGCAATAAAAAAAAAAGGAAGGTTTCTTGTTCCTTGTGTTAAGATTAGCTTTAACTTTGGACTTTTCAGAATCGGTTTATATATTCTGCTAATAAATAAAGAAAAATCAAATAAAAAGCTAGCTAATTACTTCAGATCTGCAAGAAGGAACAGAACTTCAAGCAAAGTAATATATAATCAACTCTTCTGTTAAGAGCCAAAGCCAAATATATTTCAGTATAAGTTAAGGTACAATGCCATACCCCATATGTTTGTATGAAATAGTTATTCTTTTAAAATATTTTCATATTAAAACAATTTATATATAAACATACATCCATACACGGGAATAAACAGAATTGAGGAATATCACAAAACAAAAACTTAAAGAGGTTAATATACATTTGCTGTACACATAAAACATGTAAAATCCTAGGTTTATCAAAGAAATAATCCACCTATTTTAATAGATAATTTATACTTTGAATAAATGAAGGCAATTCTTTGTTTTTCCTCTGAGGTGTTGTATAGTGAGGGAAAGGGTTTACCAGTACAAAGTGCTTAGAGATGATGTATATTTTACTATCAATTTGCCATGTTATTGGAGGTCACAGATAATAGCATTGGAAAACTAGATTAAGGTCTACAGAAGTTAAATAATTTGTTTAAAATTACACAAAATGACAGAGTTAGGGATTTAACTAAGATCTAACTCCAAATTTGTTGTACTATACCGCCTCTCAAAAATCTACGAAAACCTATTAAATAAGAAACTTAATTTTTGAGGAAGGAGATCCAAACCCGTGAGTAATTTTTCTGCAACCTCTAGTATTACAAAGTTGCCTGGGACACTGGAAAGTTCACCCAGGATCACAGAGCCAATATTTGTTAAAAGCAGGTTTTCCTGACTTCAAAGTCAGGCTCTCTATTTGCCTTTCTACTTCCTCTTAAAGAACTCAGGCTTCAAAAAAGCATTAGTTTCCTTGTATGTAATTCTCTTCTACATTTAATGGCAAACCAACTGTGAAGGACTGCCTTGTACAGAGCAAAAGCAATGTATTATAAAATTATAAGGTATTAGTAATGACTGATTCTCAGATCCCACTTACAACAACTTAATATGCTCCTAGAGAAATCTTCATTTGGTTAATCAGATTCATTTCCCAAAGCTAAATATTTAAATAAATATCTTCTGACTAGCTTATTATGTTGACAAATTCCAATTTCACAGAATTAAGTCCTAAAAATGGAAACACTAACAAATTTAACCACAGTCATGTGACTGGTATTTTTATAGACAACTCAAAGAATCCAGTAGCATAATTACCTTCCGATTATTGTGTTTATCCATCCTGAGTCTTTTCCTAGCTGGTTCCTGAACTTCAAAATCTTCTGTAGGGTGCTGTGTCCTCTTTGTATGGTTTCTTTTTTTTCCATGTAAGTTACCTTGGAATGGGGGATGGGGAAACTTACATGAAAAAATACTCTTAAAGCCCAATTAAAAGTATTGTGAACCTATCTAGGGTAGCAAATTTTAAAAACTTAAATGTTCTTTGATGCTTTTAAAAGTTTCTTTAATTCTAATAGTATCTCTAGGACCTAGCTGTTACAGGTCAAATTCATTTACCAAAAATTCCAAGGAACTTTCTTGTAAGATATCAAAGATCACATTATGCTATTTATTGGAGCTTAAAAGTGTTTTCTTTATCTGAATATTTATTTAGCAATCATTTTTTATAATAGCATTTAATCTCTTTGATACAATACTAATTTTAATGTGATCCAATAAAACTAAATAAATCCTTTGTTCCTTAATAAGTAAGGATTGTATTTCTCTTTTTATTTTATATATATATTATATATATATATACATATAAAATATATATATGGGGGTGTATGTATATATATATACACACACACATATATACATACTATATATATGTACACATATGTGTATGTAAATTCTTCACAATTCTCTTTACATTTCAACTATCTACTTAAAGTATCAAGTGTTCCCTGCCCCCCTTTTTTGTAGATTAAGGACTTCTTAACATTCCCTCTAGTCTGAAGTGCAATCATGTCCTCCCAGGATATAAAAGAACTGAAGACATCAATTTAAGAGTCACATAAAGGACTCAGACATTCAACTAGATAAACAAGTGGACTATCCTGATGTGGAAATTTATACATGCCCTAAATATAGAGCAAATGTTTTCATCTACACAACTGCCTTATGGAAGCAGAAAGTTACTCAATGGATAAGGAATTTTTAAAAAATTCATACTTTCACCAGCCAATCTCTAGACTCTTTAGAAGTAGGGAGAGAAAGATCTACCTAAATATGCAGACACCCTACCCCGACTGATTCCAATGATAGAAATCCACTAACATGAAAAAAAAAAAAAGCATTAGCTGAGTGCTAATCTAAGCTTATTCAAAATCACCACTAGGTTGGGACTCCGCCCATGCACCAATTCTTTGTAGACAGCTGGTGTCTACAGCTATAGAATTAGATTCCAGAGGAACAGAAATATGTTCTCCAGATCCAGGTATATACATCTATCTGCCTATCAGAAAGAAACAGCTATTGTGCATAGACCCCAAACTAAGTGCATGTTCTATGGGTACAATAGCAAATGGATCAACAAAGGCAGGGTCTGTCCACACATCAAGTATGGACACATTAGCTAAAAGGTAAAGTATGCCTGGTTAAATTAAATGTCCATGACTATACACTGCCTCCAGAAAACCCAAGGGCTGGATGGCAAGCAATACACAAAAAATGGCCACCAAACTTGTGTTTTGACTTATGATCTCTAATACACAAAACAATATATAGATACAAGCTTGCTCACTTGTTAAAGAGTAATTCTGTTCATGCACTTTTTTTTGTTGACAAAGTTAAGTTAAAACAAACAGAGGCCCACCACTCAGTCCATCAGGCACCTGTTTATCTCAAAACAATCACTAAACCATTATTAATTTCTAGCAACATAGTCTTTGCTCTAGATGGTAGTAAACTATGCAATTTATTCAGAATCCCTTTCATAAACCACATTTTCTTTCAAATGCCTGTAACTGTAATGTTTTTAAAGATTAGAGAGGTGGCTCAGACAGATTATCTGAATACTTTTAAAAAACTAATACTCGAGGTAAGAAACCATGAACATTCCGCATCTTTATTAGCACCAGAGTAATTTTAAGATTAAGATTAAAAGACACCTGAAAACAAATACCTTGACTAAACACCATTTGCAGAAGAGGACTACACACAAATACTTAAATTCTATTAGCTTTCTAAGCACAAAAAATTTTTAACAACAAATTTGTGATAAATATTTTTTGAAAAAGCAAAGATAAAAGCAAGGATCAGTTTTATCTTTGGTTATCATCAAGCTAATTATTTCAAATTTACAACTTACTCTTCAGGGTTAAGATAATTGGGGGGGAAGGGGAATCATCTTTTCTTCTATTAAACATGCCACACTTTTAAATCATGATACTTTTCTGAACTTAAGTCGAAGAAGTCTAAGAGTGAATTATCTCCATTTATTGACTACTAAAGCCCCCTCGTTATTCTAATCACATTACTTGCAAAAGACATTGACCAAAGTAACAATTTCAATTCTACAGTGTATAGAAATTTAATCTTGGATCTATTAAAATTCTAAAAACAACACAAGAGCATCTGAGAAAAAAAATAAAGATGTTATGGTACGTAGATATGATTACATAAACGATATACTCAATCACTACTTAAAATGATGAGCTAATTGTACACAATACAAATTTCAATTACTTCTGGATCTTGATCTCCTTTTAGGTGAATCTTGAAACACTTTACGTTTGGTCTCTCCAATATTCTTCAACGATGAACCTTGAGAGATACAGAATTTTTTTGTTTTTTAAACTGATATCCAAAGATTTGACATTCATTCTTAAAATGTTGTCAGTTTCCCCACAAAATATTTTTGCACACACATATCATCAGAAATCTGACCATCTTATACATTTAAAAAACTCTGACAAGACACTCCCCCTCATTCTTGTCATTGCCCAAAGCAAAGTATCACATAGTAATTTTTCAAATACTGAAAAAAAATCTTTCTTAGCGTGCTATAAAGAACTAGTGGGTCAAAGATCACTTGATTTTAAAGATCAGGCCAGCTTAATATACTATTTATAACTTTTTCCTCAAGTAACTTACTCAAAAGAGCAATAAATATTTATTTTATCTTCTTATAGGAATCATCTTATAACTGCCAATATTGTCGTATATAAAAGAGCAGTGGAAACAAGCTATTTTTTAACGGTTTTGGAATATGTTCCTTGGGATTACACCTCCAGTTACTTGCAAAAGAGGGGTATGACTACTGTTTATAAACCTTTCTTAGACCAAATAATCCCTGAATTTGTACTCATAGAGAACATCTTAATTATCCCAACTCTTCTCTCTCCAAATCTTTCTCACACATCTCTGTAGATAATAAAGGCTACAGTGCAGCTGCTTATAGGCAAAAGAAGAATGAGAAACCTGTAATTTCAAAGTATCACAATGTGTATATACATGAAACAGCTCTTCATAACAATAAGCAAGAAATGTAGACTTCAGAGAGTGTTTTTTTTATTGTAATCATTTGCAATTTTTTGCTACTGGCACAAATATAAAAAATTAAAATTGGAAAACAGTGAACCACTGCTTTCCCTACAGATCTCAAAAGTTTGACATCACTATGCATATCAATTTTAATTAGAGTATGCTAGCACAGTTTTATGTTTACCAGAGTCTTCTTCAGATTTGGGAGAGGTCACTATGGCAAATTTTGTGTTATAACGAGCTTTCTGCTTTTCATTTAGAATATTCCACTGTGATTCAAGCAATTCTTCAATCTCTTCAGATGAAGCATCTGGATGTTCAGCAACTACCTGTGAACACAAATATTAAATAATTATTAGGAGTATTATCTTTTAAAACTTTGCTTTTACTTAAAAGTAATACATTCATTATCCCAAAGAGATCATACAAATGGGAAAAAGACCCACATGCACAAAAATATAGCAGTTCTTTCTGTGGTAGCCAAGAACTGGAAATTGAGAGAATACCCATCAGTTGGGGGGAATGGCTGAACAAGTTCAATATATTCCAATGATACTTATTTTTTTTTAATGTGACTTATATAATTTTTCTCTCCTCTCCACTTCCCTCCACTATTTAAAAAAGGAAAGGAAGGAAGGGCAGCTAGGTGGTGCAGTGGATAGGGCACTGTCCCTGAAGTCAGGAGGACCCGAGTTCAAATGTGACCTCAGACCAAACACTTAACACTTGCTAGCTATGTGACCCTCGGCAAGTCACTTAACCCCATTGCCTAGCCAAAAAAACCCAAAAGTTAAAAAAAAAGGAGAGAAAAGGAGAACCCTTTTAAACAATAATCATGATCAAGAAAAGCAAATTTTCACAATGGCCATATGCCTAAAAATGTATGTCTTATTCTGTATCTTTGAGTATATCACTTCTCTGTTCAGAAGTGAGTTGCAAGCTCCATTACTGATCCTTTGGATTCACAGGGGGTGAGGGTAGGGAGTGAGGAGTGTCATTCAATAATTTTTATACAGATTGTTTTACTTTAATGAGAGGGGGAAAAGCTCAATTTTATCTTCTCACCAGTCTTAGCACTGTTTCCTAAGTATGGTTCTTATCCTTTACAGCTAGGAACTAGACATTTTTACAGAGTACATACTCCAAATAGCCACTATTTAAAATACTTAATTTTGATCACAGTGTTGACAGCTAAAATCTGTCTGTGTGAGACTTCTAGTCACACTTCAGGAAGATTTTCCGCAAGATTAGCAGCAAGGAATTTTCAACAATATATGAAGATCTTACTAACCAAGAATTCAATTTAACACAACATTTGTTAAGCATCTGTAACATTCAACACACCTGTAGTAGGTGCAAGTTAACACAAAATGACAGAAACAATAACATTCCATGCACAAAGGAACTTGCTTTCTATTTGGGTAATACAATAGACATAAAGGTAAATACAAAGTATATACCAAGTAATTCTAAGAAGGGAAGAGTGAAAATAACTAAGAGAAACACAAAAAGGCATGGAACTAAACTATGAAAGACACTGAAGTTTCTATGAGGCAGAAGTGAGGATGGAGTATATTCTAGATATAGAGTCATTTGTGCAAACACATGAAAGCATGAGAGAGAATATCACGTATGAGCAACAGGCCAGTTCGACTAAAAGAGAATATGGAGGGCAGGTAGGTGGAGCAGTGGATAAAGCACCTGCCCTGGAGTCAGGAGGACCTGAGTTTAAATCTGCACTCAGACACAAAACACTCACTAACTGAGTGACTCTGAGTAAGTCACTTAACCCCAACTGCCTCACAAAAAAAAAAAAAAAAAGAAAAAAGAATTGAATGAGTAATGAGTAATATAACTGGAGAAGAATTAGATTATGGAAGTCTTTAATTACCAAACAGAGTTTACGTTTTAACCTAGAGGCATAGGAGAAACTACTGGGAAAAAAATTTATTAAGAGGGGACATGACCAGGTCTGTGGTTTTAATAATATCACTTTGGCAATTATGTGGAGGATGGATTGGGGAGAGATGAGAAGGGAGGCAGGGAAATAAATTATAAAATCATTTTAACAGTACAGGTGAGAGGTGATAAGGGCTTAAATTAAAGAAACACCCATGAGTAGGGAACTGAGCTTCTTGGGCCAAGAAAAATGACCTAGTGTGCAGTAGATGATTGGTGATAAGATACTGGACTGAATGATAAAGATGGAGAGAGTGAACCTCAAATAAAGGAAGGTTACTGAATAAGTGGCAAAAAGACAATCTAGATGTAAGGCAGAGAAACAAATCTTCCCACTTCTAGTTCAGTGTTTTGTGGTTACCTTTCTCTACTTTCTCTTCCAATACTCTAACGTTATCTGTGATATCATCCATTTGGGTAGTCCCTCCAATGACAGAAATCAAACTTTACTCAATTTTTACCTATGTCTTCCCTTAAATCTGCCTCTGGAGGCTGATCTAATGTGCTGGGAAGCCTTCTTGGAGTCTCCTTGATGTTGGGAAGAAACCCAATAGAATACATAGGTTGTCCATAAGTTATCCTTCACTAAGTTGCCAATCAGCTCCATTCTCTTTTTCAATCATACATTTTTTGATGACATGCTTTTCTCCTTTCTAATGTCTCTTTCTGCAATGTGCTGCAGCCTGTTCACGCCCACCTTGCATCTTTCCATTAATAAAAGAAAACTGGTATTAAAAATACGGAGTTTTCCTTCTGGTGAACAATTTGGAACTAAACCTAAAGGGCTTACAAACTGTATACCCTTTGATCCAGCAATACCACTCCTAGGTCTGTATCCCAAAGAGATTTTTTTTTTAAAAAGGGGAAAGGATTTATATGTACAACAGTATTTATAGCAGCTCTCTTTGTGATGCCAAAGAATTGAAAATTGAAGGAATGTCTACCAATTGGGGTATGGCTAAACAAGTTGTACTACTCTGCTATAAGAAATGACAAGCAGGACTCTTTCAGAAAAACTTGGGAAAACTTATATGAACTAATACAAAGTGAAGTGAACATAACCAGGAGAACACTGTACACAGTAACAGCAATACTGTATGATGACCAATTGTGAATGACTCTGCTTTTCTAAGCAATACAATGATCCAAGACAATTCTGAAGAACTTATGATTAAAAAATGCTATCCACCTTCAGAGAAAAAAACTGATGGAATCTGAATGCAAATTGAAGCATACTTTTTTTTAAACTTGATTTTTGTTATTTTGGTGAGGGGTTGTTTTTTCTTTCTCAACATGGCTAATATGGAAATATGTTTTGTATGACCACACGTGTACAATCTATATCAAATTGTTTGCCTTCTCAAGGAGGGAAAGAGAGGAGGAAAGGAAGGAGAGAAATTAGAACCTGAAATTTTCTTTTTAAAAGAAAGTTAAAAATTGTTTTTACATGTAATTAAAAAAATAAAATACAAAAATTTTCACTTGGAAAAAAAGAAATTATATATGTGTGTGTATATGTATATACATGTATATATGTTTGTGTATGTATATGTATGTGTGTATGTGTATGTGTGTGTGTGTGTATCTATATCTATATATATATATACATACACACATAAAAACATGGAGCTTTGTTTCTTTGAAGCCATTATAAGAACTTTAATATTTTCCAAAAGCAATCCAGTGTGCTCCCTTCTTTTTCTATTCTGGACCCAACTCTTTGTCTACTTGTAGTGTCTAAGACACATTAACTGATTGATTAAGTTTTACAGGCTATCCATTGGATTTTCCTAAGTGGATAGCCCAAAGTCTTTTAAGTGATTGCAATTAGAAGGCTCTGTAATATTCTAGGGCTTGGTGCCAGCAACACAATGTCATCCACAAACACTAATATCTGTGGGACTTCACCATCTATAGGAAATATCTCTTCAATGTGGACTTTGTGCTCAATTCTCTCCACAACAGTAATGCTTACTATTAATAACCAGGGGGAAGAACAAAGTTCTTATTGTTTTATCTTCCAAGGAATCACGTATAGTTTTTTTATATACAGTCAATCCTCAACTGTCACAGGGGTAATATGAAATAATGCAAGGGAGAGTAAAGGCAACACTGGGCAATACTGGGAGGTACAGGGACCACGATGTCAGAAGAACTCCAAAGTAAAAAATGGAAGAGGGAAACTTGTCATCTCTAATCTCCCTTTGGGCTCAGTGGTTGTACTGTTCCCAGATGGAAAGCACTTGCCTCCAGGGCGAGTCCCTGGCCCCAGATCAGAGCACCAGAGGTAGTCCCACTTGGAAGTCTGGAGGCGTAGGCACAGGGAAGGCAGAATGCTCACTGGGGCGACTACCATCTCATTTACCCACAAACTTAATCACTTTTCCATTTTTTCAATTCCCTTATTACGCACCTGAAAGGTTACTTTAGCACTTTATGGAGCGAATTCACAAGCACTTTTATGAATACTTTCCTCCTTTTTGTGGCTATAAACTTGCCACATTGCACCTCTCATTTTTTTTTCTCCATTGCATGCATAGCCACAAATGTGTGCTATGAATAAAATCATAATGTTAATTGCTTGAATGTTGAGGATTGACTGTATGTGGGTGACACCTAAGGCAGTATTTCACTCTATCAAATCTGATGTTTTATAGCTAAACAATAAGCACAATAGGGATCTTGTACTCTTTACTTCTATCAGTCAATTGTGTGATGGTAAATGTGGTTTACCACAGAACATTATATAAATCTTTCTCTTCTAATGCTATCATCAAGGACACCTTTGATACGTGTGTAAATTGCTCTTATATAAATTCTGTATTTATGGGAAAATAAGTCAGTAGATAATCATTTAGTCCTCTTAAAATATTCCATTGATGCCTTTTGTCCTTAATTAATTATTTCAATCCACTCCCTTCTTGCCCACTTAAATACACTTCTTGTGACAAAGTACTTAAAACAGAATATCCAATATAGTGCTCACATTTGGCAGTGTATATAATATTCTACATTAACATTCTGTACAGTAGCTGCCTGCCTCTACAGTATGAACGGAGAGACAAAGTCCATCATGTTTTCATTTACTCAGAATTCAACTTCTTTACAAGTAATCTTTTCACTTACACTGTTTTAGTCATAGTGTATATAGTTCTCTTGATTCTGTTTCCTTGACTCTGTATTAGCTCATTTAGAAGTTCCAATGTTGTTCTCAATTCTTCATATTTATCATTTCTTATTGAACAATACTTCACTGTTTCATCACATTAAGAAACCATCATTTTTCATCCGTCTCCCCAGTCTACCGGCACCCGTTTTTATTCAAACTCTCTTCTACAACAGGGTGTAGCTGCAAGTAGTTTGGTCTATA